GGCTTGGGCGGGCCCTTGTCCGGCCACTAGCCACCGTGTCGGCGACCAGTGGCAGTGGCGCAGCCAGGATTTCGTTTCGGGGGGGTCATCGCCTCCAAAGCGGGCCCCCTAGTGTGCGGGCCCCCACCCATTTTTCAGAATCTTTCCATATTTCATACGCATTCTGCTGAGCGGGCCCCCTTTACCTGCATGATAACCCTGAGCGAGTTTGAATCGGAAAATTTTGATAGAACAATAGTTCGGTAATCACCCGGTGTTCAATTTCCACGTGAATTGACCATGACAGAAATATGTTACTATGACGTATGAATTCGTATCTTTCGAGGCCGAAATGTGCCCCTTCTGCAATATGCATAGCATATATGTATGCAAACTGAACTGTTGCCTGCTTCTGTCGGACAAGATTTAAGCAGTCCCACGTGCCTGTCCTAACTCAGTCATCTATTGGCTGCTGTAGTAGATTGTGCTTTATTCTTCTTCATTACGTGATTTCGCTCACAAGCAGTTTTAACCCTCGCCGGCACAGGGGGAGGGGATGATGCAACCTCCCCCCCCCCTAAGGTTTTTCGCGAATAACTCGGGTAACAATCGGCCGATCGCGACCAAACTTTCAGTACCCTAACGTTGATCACACCTACCCTAGAAATTTCATGACCCTGACCCAAATGGCCTTTGACCTGTGACCTACTTTCCGAGACCATGTTTGGCCAGAATCGCGATTCGGCGTATGCCGGCTCGCATTAGCCGCGCGTTTGCAGTCTTTTCGTGGTTTCAAGCATTCAAACATGTGAGTTGATGCTGCTCCCATGCATTAGGGTGGATGTCAAGGTCACCTGAAGGTCAGGTCAGGTCATTGACCTATGATGACCTCGGTACTTTTTCGAATTATACATGTCTCCAGGCTAGTTTTTGGAGCTGAATCCGAATTTAGCAACCATTTGAACATTTACGAAGTAGTTTTGGTGCCTTCGTAACATGTTACGAAGCTGCCAGAGGCGGCTGGCACGTAGGTACTACGAATACCCGGCAGGACCCCTACTGGTTGACCTGACCTGACCTGACCCGACCTGGCTTAAATGCATAAAGACATCATCTGTGATCAAAACTAACATGATAACTATTCATGATCAGTACCCCGAAAAACCCTATAGCAGCCACAATTAACGACGTTCTAACAGGTCCCGATTTTCCCGATTTTTCGGTCATTGACCTGACCTGGAAGGTCAACCAATGACCAATAACCTTAAAATTGGGTATCGTCGGCTTCCTCTCGTCACGGGGAACACGCTCGTATTTCCCGCGAAGCTCTAGCTCGATCGTGGGCCAAACAGGAAGGGGTCGTACCACCTTGTGCCGTCACGAAGGGGTCGTATATAGTATATACCTCTTGTGCCGTCGAAGGACGCAAAATGTCCGGAATGGCCTGTGCCGGCGAGGGTTAACGCGCTCATATGGGACATGTATTGCCATGGGCCGGGTTTGTTGTGGCGTGGTGATGTGGTGACGTAGATTCTGTCTGCTATCGAGGTCCCGGCATGGTGTTACTTAGCGTGGGGTACGGGCCCGACCGTTGCGCCAAGTGCGCTGAAATTTGCGCAACTTTAGATTAAGGATGGGCAACGTGCCTTTGAGGGTCTCAGCTCGATCGGATTGATAGCGAGCACATGACGCGTGCTCAAAAAGTGCAAATTCGCGTTATGGACTTTACATGTATGTATAAATCGGCTTGCAAAATCGGGCGAAAATGACTAAATTTGCCAGACACTGGTCCGGTCCCCGTGCAGTATCTCGGTAATCGTGGGCCCAATCGCCACGGGGTATCGTGTAGAGAATCGAAAGGGCTATCGAATGGTGTGCGGTGCAGGGATGGCACGCGCCACGTGCACCCGTGAGGGCACTTATACTGGGAAATTTACGTTTCGGACAGATTTGGGACTTAATGCTATTTTCGGGTGACTGTTTGACGGAGCGGGTTCAAACAACGCCTGTTGGCAAAAGAAATGTACCGCCTATCATGGAAAAATTGTGAAAAGCTAATTGATCAAAAACAAGGTGGAACAAATCACTGGAGAGAATGGTATTTGTTAATGACTTACTTAATTACACGGGTTTTACTGCATAACCTGGTACGTTTGACAGTTGAAAATGGCATAGTTGGAAAGAGCATTCAATTTTGTCCAAAATCCAATCATCGCTTTTGCATGACGAGCAACAGTATTCTTAAAAATATAAATGTTGGAAACCTCTACATAGTAATTCATCGATGGCTGTCATTTTTCAATAACCTACGTCAACCGTTGTTATAAACTACACATGACGTGTTCTATAGTAGAACGCATGCTTATCAGACACGAGCACCTCGATGCAATGGATATTTTTTCCCAATCCAAAATGCTTAGCCGTCAAAAAGCAATCAACCGAAATGGATACATCACCCACGGACACAAGACCAACCAAATGCCCACCGATCGAAAATACCCCTTATTCGCTTTGCGGAGCAAGCGGGTCACCCTAGCGGGCCCCATTCAACCAGGGGCCCGGGCCCTATCCACACGGGGGCCCGGGCCACGTCCACCTGGGGCTCCGGGCCCCGTCCACCCGGGGCTCCGGGGCCCGTCCACCAGGGGGCCCGGGCCCCATCCATCCGGGGGCCGGGCCCCGTTCTCCCGGGGGCCAGGCCCCATTCACCCGGGGGTCCGGCGTCCACCCGGGCCCGGGGCCCGGACCTATCCACGGGGGTCCCGGGCCCCATCCACCCCGGGGGCCCGGGCCTATTCTCCCAGGGGCCCGGATCAATTCTCCCGGGGGCCCGGGCCCGTTCTCCGGGAGGCCCGGGTCCGTTCTCCAATCTCCCGGGGCCCCGGGCCCGTTCTCCCGGGGGCCCGGGCCCCATCCACCCAGGAGGCCCGGGCCCGTTCTCCCAGGGGCCCGGATCAATTCTCCCGGGGGCCCGGGCCCGTTCTCCGGGAGGCCCGGGTCCGTTCTCCAATCTCCCGGGGCCCGTTCTCCCGGGGGCCCGGACCCATCAACGGGGGGGGCGGGCCCCATCCACCCAGGAGGCCCGGGCCCGTTCTCCCAGGGGCCCGGGTCAATTCTCCCGGGGGCCCGGGCCCGTTCTCCGGGAGGCCCGGGTCCGTTCTCCAATCTCCCGGGGCCCGTTCTCCCGGGGGCCCAGACCCATCAACGGGGGGCCCGGGCCCCATCCACCCAGGAGGCCCGGGCCCGTTCTCCCAGGGGCCGGGCCCGTTCTCCCGGGGGCCCGGGCCCCGTCCACCTGGGGCCCCAGGCCGACCCCTCACCCGTGGTGTCCCAGTAGGCATTTCTCGAAGCGGGCTCGTCCGATTAGATTAGGGCCTCTCTCCTCCCTCTCTCTCTCTCTCTCTCTCTCTCTCTCTCTCTCTCTCTCTCTCTCTCTCTCTCTCTCTCTCTCTCTCTCTCTCTCTCTCTCTCTCTCTCTCTCTCTCTCGAGCGGGCCCCTAACAGAAATTTCGGGGGGGTCAGCTGACCCTCTGACCCCCCCCTGGCTGCGCCACTGACCAGTGGCCCTCCTTTGGTGGCGCCGACAGGATACTCGGCCCAGTACAAGATGCTCCGACACTTTTTACCGACAGAACTGGGAATATTCCTCCGCAGGCATGTCGGCCGGCTTTTGGACGGACACCGCAGGTGCTCCAGCAATGTGGCGAGCTTTGCACATACAGGCGATTTTTGCACAGAGAGCGGTTTTATTTCTGTCCAGTTTGTATGGGCGTTGCGTTGAAGATATCTAGACTGATTGCACGTATTGAGGGCACGCAGCAGCCAGCGAGAAGGCGCCCGGCGTACGTCGTTACGCTGAAGGCTAAAATTGACGCACACACTTCGCAACATGAAAGGAAAGACAAGTGCGGCTAGCTGGGAAACAAGAAGCACGTCGCATTTCCTATGACAGGCCTTTTCGGCGAGAGCTACATGTTCGGGAAAAATTAGGAGCAGGTTACTTAGAACACAGTCCGCCCGAATTAATTTATTGCAAGAAAAATGAATGTGAATATACTGCCTAAGCTCCCTCACAAACATAGATGCTACGAAGGGAAACAAAGTGAACTTAATCGTCTGCTTGAGACTACCGGTAGGCTTCCATAATTTGAACCATTGATGAATCAACCACAATTCATACCATCCTAGCACTACTGATAAAAATAACGGCGGATTTTTACACTTCATCTTCATTCATGCCGGATCTTGCGGTTCAAAGACGGACATCAAGATGACTGGGCAATTTGACACGATGTCACGGTTTTCTCTGACACCTGTGTTGATAAACATTCATGATAAATAGTGTTATCAACCGCGCTGAAACTATTTCATATTTGTGCTGAGCGAAAAGTTTTTGACATACCTCCATGAGCATTTGTATGAGTCATCGAAAAGACCAGCCTGATATTCGGTCAACACATTCAGTGGGACGAGCTCACGGATGTGAGCATTAAGAGTTTTCTTTTACCACCATGAGGTTTTCCATTATATATGAGCAGATAGTTGCAATGTCTTGTTCAGAGATATAGCGTTTAACATTCTTACCTTACCTCAGGCTGTACCTACACCAGAGGTCTATGACTCAGGGTATAGGTATCTAATTATATTTCTGCCGTTGATTTAGCCACTTTAAGTGCTACCAATGTTATAATTGGTCCGGATAACTCTTGTTTTGTTTTTAACAGGATATCATAAAAGCTGAGACTTAGTTCATTGACTTCTTATCTAAATGAAGTTTAACTATTTGATTGAATTGCACTGTGCATGCCATGCAACTTTTCCAAGACCAAAGATACCGCAAAACTTACGAAGCTCAAACCTTCTCGGCATTGGCCGTTAACGTAGCCGTTAACGGCCGTCCTAGCCGTTAACGTATATGCAGGGTCGATCAGACCCCCCCCCTCCCCGCCTTCCTCCGCGGCCGTTCGTCCCAGGCTTGTCGTCCCCTGATAGAGCTAGTTAGAGTTTCGTGAACAAAATAGCGTGCTGTCCGTAATGAGAGGAACCCAGTTACATATACCCAGCTTTAATGTCCTTGGTTATTTGTAGAGCTGCCAGGTCAGGTCAATGCCACAGATGTTGGGCAAATCGGGATCAGTTAGAATTTCATGAAACGAAGATTTATGTGGGCTTTCGGGGTCCTTTGTTTTGTTCAACAAATATGCACTTACATTTTCGAGCATTAGGGGTTGGTCGGCTCAGGTCAGGTCAGGTCAGAAAGCCGACATTCCGCCAGCTATTAAAAGTAGGTGTATACCACCACTTAAAGCTTTGCAACATGTTGCAAGGGCACCCCAACTCGTTTCCAAATGTTTACATAAGCACCAAATTCGAAATCAGCAAAAAACTACCTGTAAGGTAGAAATAAAGGTAAAAACAACATGGATTCATGTTATCTATGATTTATGGCATCTCAAGGGACGCAGTGAGTTACGGCGGACGGGAATTCCCTTCCACTTGACTACGCCCAAGTGATGACTGAGACTCGAGTCACTCGAGTCTCGAGTCAGCGCGCATATGAATAGAACTCCGGCGTCTTTTGGAGTGAGCTGAGCTGAGTCAATCAGCAGACTCCCCGCTACAAATGTGTCGCCTTTTCCAGGGAAGATGGCACCAACGGGCCCCACTGTCTCAGGGAAACAAAGTTTCCTTCCGAAGAACGGAACTGACCACTCCGACTCAAACTGGGCCTCTCCATACATACGGCACAAACCACTTAACGTGCTAGACGCCGTGCATGTGTCATCAACAGGTTCTTTGTGTTTTCACGGTAAAGATGCTTTCAGATTGGCCGTATTGCGCCAAAGCAATTATCATCCTTATTCCGTCCGGGAAAGATACACGCAACTGAGAAAAATAAACAGACATCTGGTTCACGATTGCGGTTGCACAGCGGGCCGGTTGCCCCATGACTGCAGCTGGGACGGCGCAGTAGTGGCGGACTTTGGCCGCGCTGATTTCGGCGGATGAGGGCCAAATAAACAGGGCCACTCCGGCGAACGGGCCTGGGGTCTGGCGAGTCGCTCGGAGCGGCGGACCGGCTGGTACGGCCGGGTGTGTCCGCCGCTGCAGCGGACCGCGCCGGCCGGCCGCAGACAGCGCGGCGCCGGCCGTCCCAGGCCGGGGCCCGGCACCGTGCAGACGGCTCGCCGTCTCCGGCCGTGGGAGTGGAGCGCCGGGCAGGCCGCTCTCGGCGCGTCCAGGCCAGGTCGTGCCGCTCGCCACCGCAGCTGTGTCACACAAAGGGCGCGATGCCGCCGATAGGGCCGCCGAGGACCGGCGCCGCTCCGACTGCTCGGACAAGGGCCGCCGGGGTGCGGCGGGACGGCCCACCGGTGAGCGTGCACCGGAACAGGAGAGCTCCCCTGCCCCCCCTGGAGCCCTCCCGCGTGTCGGCAGATGAGGTCGCCGATAGAGCCACCTTCAGTCGGCGGCGTCCGGCCAGCATCAAACGGCGCCGACGGTCCACCGGCCGCGGTTTCCTCGAGTCCAGAGCCGATTGCGAACGATTAGCGGGCGACTCAGGTGATAATTATTTCATACAGCCATGAAGTGTGGTGTGGCTGCCGGATTCAGAAGCATGTCTCTGCTATGGGCCGTGAATGAGGTCTGTGTGCTGAGACGGCGGTATAGGCGTGAGTGAGTTAGGCCATCCGCGTCGCTCCTTATGGCCGGACAGGAGGGTGGGCCAGTCGGTAGTTCCAGCTAACCTCTTCAAGCGTGTGCGATACATTTGGCCGACCGCAGACACGGAGCAACGGATCCTCTTCTGATTCCGGCAGGCTGCTGAGCCTCCAACGGCATGTTACCGTGATACACACGCGCTGCGCGATCGCTGGCACACAGCGTCTGAAAAGGTAATCACCAAGAACAGTCCACACGCATCGTTATCCTCCAACGAACACGCTGGGAGTCAACTATTTGGCCGCGTCTCGTGAAAGCACGCTTTCCGGATACAAACGCTACCGATAGGAAAACTGCATTCACGATAATGCGGGCAGAAAGAATCCATCTCCGACAGGAGGTCAACCACTCCGTTTACGGTTCATCACATGCACGGAAAGCATGCGCCCACTTTACCAAGGACTCGCATCCGCTCGGATCTGGTCTTATCCTTCATTCCGATGCGCCTTTCTGATAACCTATTCTCCGTTCGGTCAGTGGCCGTACAGCAGCAGGCCACAGGCACGTGCCTATTCAGTTTGTCCTCCGCGCCTCCCCGAAGCCGCCTATATTTACCGCCTTTGACTCGTTCACGCCAGTGGCGCAGCCAGAACTCTGGCGACGGGGGTGAGAGACGTTCGCGATGGGCCCCCCAGCAAAGTGGGCCCCCCTCAACCAAATGGTGGCCCCTTACCAACAACGAAAACGGTCGCTGTTTTGCCGAGTATTTTTGGAAAATCACAAAACCATTTGAATAATAATTGAATATGAATTTCTCATTTTAAACTTTGTTAACTCTGATCTGTAGTCAGGTCAGATCTTTGTCCTCATCATTAGGTACCAGCCAAATCGGGAAAAAGGACGAATATCTCTTGATCTGAAGAGGCACGTCAAAAACAACAGCATATTTACAGAAACACGACCATTCTGCCCATATTTGATGGACAGCGTGCAATTGATGGCCAGCGGCCACTCAAAGGGTCGGGCTAGGTCAAAAAGCTTTTAAAAAAGCTCAACATCAGTTTTTCGACTATTACTTTTGATATAGGAGACGAGCTAGAGTAATTACATTGTTTTGAAGGTCATCCATACGGATCGGTTGATGACCATCATGAACTTTTCAAGTAAGGGTACTATGACCTAGATCTGCGGTCACATTTTGAAGTTGAACTTTTTATGTAAAATTATAGGTAGCTCATTCGATGCATGTTAACGAGAAAATGATGACAAAGTGAAATGTAAATGTCTCATAGTTTTTCTTTTCTCACCAAAGTTCTTGCAAAAATTCTTAGCAACATTATGGCAAATGCGACAATTTAGATGGTTTTGCCCTCTGCTTTGTTGCGAAACCGACCTCAATGAGGCATTGAGGTCAAATCAGGTAGGGGAAGGTGGGGTAAGACGGACCAGCTAAGGTTTGAGGCCGCATATCTTGCTACACTGCTCTCGTAATTCATATTATTTATAGTCTTCGGAATGCTCAATCCTTCCTCTGTTGATATGTGTAAAAACTAAATTTCAAATTAAAGACATCTAGGTGGTGGATGTTCTTAAAGAGGGACATGTCAAAAACTCAGACAAGAAAAAACGTGGGGTAAGACGGACCACCCAGCAGTGCCTGCTATCCGTTCATGTGTGTTACACTTCTGCTCTGTACTCTTGTAAGAAAAAGTAACCAGAATGGTAAAATAACAAAATGAGCCTTTATTCTTTACTCATGTGTGATGGAAATGCAGCTAAAAGCTGGGAATATGTGTGTTGATTGTCGTTTGGCATGAATGCATGCTAACTGAGCACTTGCATGCATGGCTCACATGCAACAAAGACTCCTTCCTGAAAAATTAGCTTACTTAAACTTGTGTCAATGTTTTGGAAAAGAACTTTCCATATGCAGGGTACAATGGACCACCACAGGGTAAGATGGACCACAGTGGTCCGTCTTGCCCCAAATCTAAATTCTGTCATTATCATGACGTATATATCAAATAGCCCAACATTGCAAAACCTTGCCTTTCCTAAAGTGTGACTATAACTAAGTTTATAACTTTGTTCTTCACAGTTAAGTGCAAAATAGAAACTAATCATGCAAGAAAGGCGCCGTAATTGAATCACCCGTAGACCTCTTATATTAGATCGGTTTGACGAAAAACAACATTTTTCTCAATAACTCAAAAGCTATGCATTCTAGCAGCATGAGCTCAAGGTGGCCATTGTTACGAAGGAAAACAAACATAGTGAGTGCATAAAGCAGTAGATACCAGCAGCGGTTCAGCCGGGAGGGCTGGTGGTCCGTCTTGCCCCGCTGGGCCGTCTTACCCCACCTTCCCCTAAGCGAAAGCGTTTTGCAAGGCCTATCGAATGAGTTGTTCTGCGAATCTCTAGCTCTTTGGTTACCGAGTTATACGGTTATTTGTGAAAATATAAAAACAAGATTTTCTTCGTCGTAATCTTGTCTTTTTGTTTATCATAATTTTATCATTAGGTATGTTATCTTCAATGACCTCAACGATGACCTAATCGAAAAATGACCTCTACGATTCTGAAATATCCTACAGCTATCCGTTGTTTTTTCTTGTCTTTCTAGCCTTCTTAAATTTTTGTTAGATAATCGGGTTTAGCCGATAAGCCTCCCCCCCCCCCACCACCATGTCTGATTGCGCGCGTTAGAGAGCTATCGAACCCACTTTCAGCGCGCTATAGCCTTATATGTCTTCGAATGTCGAAATAGGCGAAACTTTTCCTTCGACGAACATGACGACGTGGGCTTTGGTCTGAGCTGCAACATGACTGAAGTAATTTCTCCATGATTTTTAACGCTCTTTAGGAAGCCGCCTACCGCCGCGCTTGTTGCTACGTGACCCTGGAGTCGGGCTAGACTAGAAGGGAATATTCAAACACCCCTAAGGGGCGTAAAACTGAAAAGCTTGGGGCCCTGCTCTGCGGGGCGCGGTCGAGCTGGGCTAGGGCCAGTTTGGGGCCTTTACAAGCCCACGTAAAGCCCTCAATAGTCTGCATAGAGTACAGGCCTTCCAAGACTTGAGGGTTTAGATATCGACAATCGACATGGTCTTTTGACATCTGCGTGGCGGCTATCAGAGGCCGGTGGGCCCCTCAAAAGCTGGTGCAGGAGCCTCAGGTGTCAGTTTGGAGCCATCATGGACCAGTGCGGGGTCCTGATGAATACCTAGGCGTCAAACCCCTAGACGTCGGGGTGGGGCCGGGCGGTGAGGCAGGCACAGGCCTGAAGAGAAGAGGAGTTTTCAGATGTCGGCTTGGCATCTTAAAAGCCCTGCATGACTTTCTCAGAGGCTGACATATCGTCCTGCGGGA